CTCTCGAAAGCTAGATCACTCAACTGGTTACAGCTTGCTTCAAGCTCTGATACCACAATGAACGCTTGAAATGGGGGCAATCTGACGAATCTTATTATTCAGAAGAACAGTATAAATAACAATGCTTCAGCCTAAAACTAAGGCTTCCACGACCCCAACTACTGCCCGTTAACACCCTGCAAATCAGCAACAAACTATCCTCCTACTGCTGTAAAATCTCAACAGACTAACAGCTTACATGACTCAAACAGACTCGAACTAAAACATCAAGGACTCTAAGTGAAATTATCCAAACGGCTGCGTTTGGCTTTATTGACACACTACTTTGAATTCTGCCGCCAGACTGCAATCCTTCTCCATAACGGATTCGGATTGCAACTTGCTTCAGTTTCGTGTCCAAAACCAAATAACATTTTTCGTTTTACAGATATGATCCTTAGCTATGGCAGCAGTCTTAAGGGAAAGCTTCGATGAGGGATCGGACACCAAGAACTGGATAGATTTTGAAGCTGGAGAAACCGGCAGCAACAAGCAGCTTGTTCCACTGCTTCTCATCTCGTTCTCTCCCGTTTAAGAGAGACATCATCAGCATATCAAGGTAATCCTGCACTTCAACCTCCAAATCCCTCCTCATCGATGGCAGTGAGTTCTGGCCATAACCACGAACAACATCTATGATGATCACCTTGCGGACTTTCGAACTAGAGGCCGCCACCGCTTCTCTGCAGAGCTTAAGCAGCTTGATGCTCTGTTCATCGTCCCAGTCATGGATGATCCACTGCATATACACGTGCGCGCGCATGGAAAACAACACGGGAAATTTTAGCGGTGGGAAACGTTGCGATCTACAACTATGGAATCATCATTACATCATATAATACAAGTCATAGACTAGACCAAAAACTTGTTAACCGTCTACATTCATTATGGACCAATCTGTACGGTCCGATTTAATTCAAGATTTTGCAAACGGTGTGATATATTTTTCATGCGTTGGGAGTATCGAAGGAAATAAAGAGAAGCTATATACCATCCACTAAAATATCTAACTAATCCAATCCATTTCAATCCAATTTCCATGAATTCAAATGGCAAATTATAGTTCAGTACCTATACTTTTTGTATTTTACATTTGATACTCAAAACTTAATTTTTTACACGAAAAATATCATTAGAAAACTATATTTTGGTAGTAAATTTTATTATTATGACATTTTAGTACCCAAACTTTTCAAAAGTTTCATATTGATCCATGGATACACCAATCCATGGATTCAATCTAATTGCCACCTCTAATTAGTAGTACCTTAAGTAAGACAGCATCCGCTGAAGGCACGTTGAGGAACATATCCCCATCAATATAGTCGAGATTGGGATGATGAAGATGGGCTGATCCTTCCTGGTGCTGCAGTTCCACAGCACGAGGCAGATCTAGAACCGAGCACTTGATCTCAGGGAATACATTCCCAATGGCCGCGGCGAGCGCTCCGGTGCCGCCACCCACATCTACTAGTGACCCGATGCCCTGGAACACCTCTTTGCACCTGTCATAGGCAATGTAGTCAAAATCGAGTATTAAAATTTAAAAGTTTAAACTTTTACATTTGTAGATCACGATAATTAGGTTTGTACATTGGTCGGGTAGTTCGGGTTTGGTCATTCCAATCACCCGACTCATATGCTACGATTTTGAAAATATTAAATCCAAAGCCACCCAAGAAATCAAAACCCTACAGTTTGGTTATAATTGGGTTGGATCGAATTATTTTAAAGCTACAAACTTATTCAAATTATTAAGATTGCTCTTAATTTTATCTCACCTTATAAACATTTTTTGATAGAAAATTAAAAGAAGAGCATGTTAAATAATTTTCCGAAATACAAGAAGATGTTTGATGTAAAAAAAAAAAAAAATAGTGGAGTGACATATTTGATAAAAATATATAGTAAAATGACATACATAGATACAACCCTTCTATATAGTACGGGTAGCTAGCAATCTAAGTTTAATTAGCAACGAATATAGCCTCTGGATCTAATCCAAAATTTCAACCCAAAAAACATGGTGCCCGTATCGGAAATGAAGTACTCTCCCCCTCAACAAGTCCTCTTCTTCCTCCAAACCTTGCTCGCAATAGCGTGCACCATCTTCCTAGTACGCCGTTCCTTGCGAAAGAGATCGTCGCCGTCAACTACTACTACTAGGGCACCACCGGGCCCATGGAAGCTCCCCATCATAGGGAACCTCCACCAAATGATCATCACCTCGACCACTCTGCCGCACCGCCGCCTCTGGGAGCTCTCCCAGAGGCATGGGCCGGCGGTGATGCACCTCCAGCTCGGGGAGGTCTCCACCGTCGTGGTCTCGTCCCCTGAGGCGGCGAGGCAGGTGATGCAAACCCACGACGTGCACACAGCCACGCGGCCCGCCATGCTGGCCCCGACCATCGTGTTCTACGGCTGCAAGGACGTAGGGTTCGCACCCTACGGGGAGTACTGGCGCCAGATGCGCCAGATCTCCATCAGGGAACTGCTGGGCCCGAAGAGGGTTCGGGCCCTGCGCTTTCTCCGGGAGGAAGAGGTGAACAATCTAGTCACGAGGATCTCGCTGCTCGCAGCAGCAGACGGGGCGGTGGATCTCACCCAGATGCTCGTCTCTCTGGGGAACCGAATCAGTTGCAGGTTCGCGTTCGGTAGCGTGCAGAAACTGAGTGAGGCATTTGTCGCGATGAGCGATAAGTGCGTAGAGTCGTTCGGAGGGTTCAGGGTGTCCGACCTGTTCCCCTCCCTCAAATGGCTTCCGGTCGTGACCGGCTACATGGCTGAACTTGTTGGGGAGCATCGAGCCGCTGATGCGATGCTCGAGGAGATCATCAACGAGCATCGGGCAAAAAGAAGTGGTGGAGAAGCGGAGGATCTCGTCGAGATCCTCCTCAACCTTCAGGAAAAGGGCAACCTCCCACTCCCCTTGACCATGGACGCCATCAAAGCAGTCATTCTTGTAAGCCTTGAAAATGAACATTAATCAACCAACAAGTGAATTTATGGAAGGAACAATAAAAAATGTTCATATATGCATGTAACATCTTTTCCCCCTTTTTCGTCATCTTATTAATCAGGAACTTTTTGTTGGTGGTACTGAAACGCCCGCGAGGGTTGTGGAATGGACCATGTCAGAGATGATGAGGAATCCAGGAGTCCTACGACGAGCCCAAGAAGAAGTGAGGCGAGTCTTTGGCGGGCAAGGGAGTGTCGTGGAAGAGGGACTCGAGGAATTGAAGTACATGAAAGCAGTCATCAAGGAGACTCTGCGGTTGCACCCTCCGGCCCCACTGAACGCGCCACGAGAATGTATGGAGACGATTGAGGTGGACGGAATGGAGATACCAGCGGGTACCAGGATCATTGTCAATGTGTGGGCTCTTGGAAGAGATCCTCGTTACTGGCCCGATGCGGAAAGCTTTTATCCCGAAAGGTTCCTCGATTCCTCGGTAGATTACAAGGGGAACGACTTTCAGTTCCTTCCGTTTGGCGCCGGGAGGAGGATGTGCCCTGGAGTTATGTTTGGTATGTCTAATGCAGAACTCGCACTGGCGAATCTGCTTTTTCATTTCGACTGGAAGCTTCCCGTCGATACGATGAGGGCTGGAGATTTGGACATGGAGGAGCGTTTCGGACTGATAGTTGCGAGGAAGAATAAACTTTGCTTGATCCCAATTCCGCGTAATGGATTTGAAATGAACTGTGGGAACCATTGAGAAATATATTGAGCGAGTGAGAAATAAGGGAGAAGTGATTAACTGAACTCTGATTTGGCAGTGCTTTCCAGTTCTTTTTTATTTCTTTCTTTTATGGGGATAATGCCATTTGTAATACTTGTTTATCTGTTTTTCGTCTTCTTCCACTTAATTACCGTCGCAAAATGCATGCACCTTCAGCCACCGGTAGCGGTAACTAAAAGTCCGATCGGGTGCGTGCAATATGTTGTTTTTAGTGACAAGAGGCATTTTCTGCGAGCTTCAAGCCGGTTATCCCGCGTCAGTACTATTTAACGACCAGATAATCGAGTTGGCGAAAGGAAGATGCATAATGATCGATTTTGCGACAGTATCTGCACAGTGAATTTTCTTTTGTGACCAAGTAGGTCAGAATCTATATACAAGATTTAGTTACGGGACTCCCATTACGTACGAGCGGTAGTATCCATCGGCCAGTAGGGATCACAATTTGAATGGTCCTGTATTATTATCCAATTTGACCAACGCTGAGGAGGTCATACTCGATCCATACTAGCTAGTGATGGATGAGTAATGAATACTACATTATGTCATTCTTGACCTGTTCTCTCTCTCAATATATTTTTTCCTATTTTCACTTTGTCTTAATCAAATTTTCGCTCTCTAATATTTTAGATAAGTGTAATACTTAATCTTTCAACTATTTAGACAAACTAATTAATCTATTTATATTAATTAAACAAAAAATAATCGATTTATTATCTCTATTTTCATTTATGCACTATTTTACATTGTTTTATGGATGGCAAAAAAGGCTCAATATTTGGGTATTTACCAAACCGAACTCATTATGGGTCAAATCAGGTTTTTGGTAATTATTTATTGGGCCCTACTTGTTATTTTGGGTTAAATTGGACTCATAATTTTGGTTATCCAAAAGAATTCTACTGTATATTTTGTTTTCGGCTTAATTGCAAGTTTGGTCACTCGAATTGCTACAAAATTTCACGTTTGCCACTCAAATTAATTTATTCCATTTATAGTCACTTAAATTAGGTTAACAGTCCAAGTTTGGTCACTGGCCGTTAGTCTCCGTTAACTTTTGCTGATGTGGCGGTCAACTCTTATAGTTGACCGTTGAATGAGTGACGTGGCGATTAAAAAATTAATAAAATAATTTAATTTAATTTTTTATTTTCCACCTAATTATTATAAAAATAAATAAAAAACCTAATTCCTTTTAATTGTTATTTTCCACCGCTGATGAGCTGCGTCGTCTTCGGCTCCTTCGTCGTCTGGTACCTCGCGGCGTTCTCGATCTCCTGCTTCAAGGCGCTGACCCTGGTCATCAATAAAGGGCTGAGGTTGCGGCTCTACGGATTGACCCTCGTCGTGATGATCACCTTGCCTTTGCAGCTCGTCTGCCTCGAGTTCTCCGTCTTGTGGACCCCGCGGGACGAGCCGTACGCCGTGTTGTCGATGTTCATCTTCCTCGCGGCCTTCGTCATGGCGGCGGCTGGGGAAGGGATCCTAGTGATTCGGCCGATCGCCGATTCGTTGGCTGCCGATCAGGAGATTCAATTGGGTTCGGGTCGGGCGATTCAGCGGGGTTCGAGCCAGGCCGCGGTGGTGGTGTTGCCGACGGTGACGACGGAGGAGGAGAAAGCCATGGTGGTGGTTGGAACGGCGACGGAGGAAACGACGGCGGATCGGAGTAGTCATAGTGTACAGGTGTAAGCATCAAATCATATATATGTAGAGAGGGAGAGTGGGGAAAGGAAGAATCTGTGGAAAGCCAAATTCGAAGAGATAGAGACGAGGGAGAAGGGGTTAACTGCTGCTGGTTATGTGTGAATTGTGAATGAGTTTACAATACACAAGAAAATTTGTCTATCAAATTCTCACCCCTGTTACAGTCTGAATTAGAAGGCAGCCATTTTTGCATGTTCGTAGTGTTCATTGATTTCTTCTTTCTTGATTACCTGGGTTTTTCCTGTTTTTGTTGGTTTGCCGCCATTGTTACTCTGTTTGTTGATAATTTAAGAGACTTTTTTTTGTTTCCTCCGCCATTGTCCATGGAGGAATCCTTTTGAATTCCTGCCCCCCTACTTCTTCTGAATTCTCTTACTCGCTGTATCGCCATTGGGTTCCCTCGGGAAGGTCGGAGGCGACGGGTTGGCCGGCCGGGAGAGGTCGTCGACCTGAGGGGAGAGGAACGGCTACGGGCGGTGGAAAATAACAATTAAAAGGAATTAGGTTTTTATTTTATTTTTATAATAATTAGGTGAAAAATAAAAAATAATTAAATTAAATTATTTTATTAATTTTTTAATCGCCACGTCACTCATTTAACGGTCAACTATAAGAGTTGACCGCCACATCAGCAAAAGTTAACGGAGACTAACGGCCAGTGACCAAACTTGGACTGTTAACCTAATTTAAGTGACTATAAATGGAATAAATTAATTTGAGTGGCAAACGTGAAATTTTGTAGCAATTCGAGTGACCAAACTTGCAATTAAGCCTTTTGTTTTCTCAACAGTGAAATCACAAATTTTGTCTATGAAACCCTTGCCTAGCATCACTAAGGCCTATAATATGGTTGGAAAATCTAAAATTAAATATTATTTATTTTATTATTTTTTAATTATCATGTCACATATTTAACGGTCAACTATAAGGGTTGACTGCCAAATCAGCAAAAGTTAACAGTGAGTGACCAAACTTGAATGGTTGAACTAATCTTAGTGACCACGAATGAAAATGAATATTTTTAGTGACCAAACGTGAACGTTTTTTTGTAATCTCAGTAACCAACCTTGTCATTTACCCCAAAGGGTCACATGCATGCATTCATTTAGCTAGCTAGGTAGTTCTGGTCATGTTTTTAACTTATCCTAATTAATCGATCGGCTATTTGGAGAACAATGGTCGCCTACAGCAAGCTGCAGGGTCGCCTATTTAAACCACCGGCAAGTTGGAAGTGACCATGGCTCGCTCCAATGAAAGGAACTTCTGGTTCACTAGGGAGAGGGAGTTGCGTGCCCGGGTGTCGGAGACGGAGGCGACGATTACGGAGAGGATAGCCTCAGGGAGGTCGTTGATGGTGGTGACGGCGGCTGTAGCGGTGGTCATTTGGGCTGCGGTGGCGGTGGAAGGGAGTTTGAAGTGTTTCTGTCTGGTCGATCTTATTTCCCCCCTTTCAGAGAGAGAAGAGAGCGAGAGGAAGAGGAGATAGATTTGGAAGATGTGTGACGTGGACGGGGCGAGAGGTTGGGGAGGGAGATGTGTAAAGGAAATGGAGAACTGATGTTCTAGAATGGTTTAAGAGAGTAATTTACTTGTGGTTTACCATGATTAAGAAGTGTCTATTATTACAGATGACTCTTTATTAGGTACCGGTTCTCAAACGGTTTTTAAACGGTCTAATGCCGGCTGGACCACTAATGACCGAGCCGTTCACGTTACCGGGTCATACTCCGGCTCGGCTTTGACAGCATTGGTTTGAACTCAATAAATGCACAATGACTTCTTGAACAACGATTAATAACACGGTTCACTCCTCTACGAACAATGTTCGAACGAGGGTGTTTGATGTTTTTGATGGTTTTTTGGGAACAAACTTGAAACATCCCACCTCTTTGAATTTGGAAAAAGACATTTCTACCCCGGGGGATAATTAAAAATCTCAAATAACACAAGTTTAAATAAAATACCAAACTCAAATATCTTAATATCTCAAATTGAAGCCCTAAACACGTGGGCAAAACTCAAATTGTCCAAAAGAAATGAATCTCCAATCTTTAACTCTTAACCATAAAGTCTCAATAACTTAAAAAGTTCTCCGATGCTTACTCTGGCGCCTGGCTCGACATCTCTCAGTGACGATGGTGTTGAGCTCCTCTAGCCTGCTGATCACAGACTGGCTGGTTAGGATTTCCTCCTCTACGATCTGGTGAGTGAGTTGGGGTCAGTCTACGCCCTTACGTTAAAATATATAGTACTTTAGTATTCATCTCTAAACACTTAACTTCTACTAGTGGAAGTCGCTTTGCACTTCCCTTCTTAACAATCTTAACTCATAAAATTCTGTTGATGTGACTTGAATCGGACTATCAGCCGCTACGACTGGTAATCGGGGGTCTCGCTGTTATTTGGGTTCGGGTTCTGGGCCTGGTCTGTAACCGTTTCCTTTGCCAGATTGGATTAGGTTTAGACCCACATGGAGAAGTACTATAAATACTTCTCATACTCCTCTGTAATCTGTAATCTCCTTGATATAGTGAAACTGGCTCTCTCGCCCGTGGACGTAGCTAACACACATCGTGTTAGTGAACCACGTAAATCGTGTGTCTGTGTTTTCGATTCTCGCTTTCGTGTTCTTGCTTTGTCGATTCCTGCGATTTCCCGATCCGTAGCAGCGCGTTTATAACAAGTGGTATCAGAGCCGCGGATGGAAATCAGGCTAGGGTTTTCGATTCAGAAGAATGACGTCGGTGAACGTGAAGATCGAAAAGTTCACGGGGAAGAACAGCTTCGCTATATGGCAGATCAAGATGCAGACTTTATTAAAACAGCAAGGGCTGTGGGGGCCGCTGTCTGCGAAACAGAAGAAGGCAGCGGTCAATGACGATGAGTGGAATACCCTAGAGGAGAAGGCCCACTCGACCATCATGCTATCGTTGTCTGATGACGTCATCATTGAAGTCGCTGCTGAGAAGACTGCCGCGGGCTTGTGGTTAAAGTTGGAGAGTCTATATATGACGAAGTCCTTAACCATCAAGCTGCATCTCAAGCAACGGTTGTTCAGCTTGAGGATGCAAGAAGGTACGCCTTTGAGGGAACATCTCGAACAGCTTAACTCTATTTTGCTGGATCTGCGTAATATAGATGTTCAAGTTGATGACGAGGATGCTGCCCTAATCCTGCTGGTTTCTTTGCCGAGTTCATATGAGAATTTCGTTGATTCTTTTATTGCTGGTAAAGAAAGCGTGTCGTTGGAAGATGTCAGGTCTGCTCTTCATACGAGAGAGATCAGACATAAGGCGTCCGGATCTGGTACAGGTGGCGAGGCATCGGGTTTGGCTGTTACAGGTGGAAAGGGAAAGAAGAAATCTGGTAAAGGGAATTCGAACAAGAATTCCAAGGGTCCCGGTCCACAGCAGGTGATGCTTGTCACAACTGTAAGGAAGTGGGGCATTTGAAGTACAACTGTCCCAAGAGAAGAGGGCAACAGAAGAAACAAGGTTCAGTTGCCGTGGCAGAAGTGGACAATAGTTCTGAAGACGATCTCGCCTTGGCTGTAGATGAGAAGGCACATCGTGGGATGTGTGGTTTCTGGATACTGCAGCCTCATACCATATGTCTCCGAACAGGGATTGCTTCACAACCTACGAGCAAATAGATGGTGGTAATGTGGTCATGGCAAATGGAGCTGTCTGCAAGGTTGTTGGAATCAGGTCCATAAAGGTTCAGGCACATGATGGTTCGTTCTGTACCGTGAATGATGTCAGGCATGTTCCATAAATGACAAAGAACCTGATCTCCTTGAGTCTACTCGACAGCAAGGGTTTCAGTTTCAAAGGAAAAGGTGGAGTTGTGTATGTCTGCAAAGGTTCAAGGAAGGTGCTGAAGGGCGTGAAGCGTGGGACCTTGTATGCATTACAAGGATCAGTGTTGTCTGGTTCTGCTGCAGTTGCATCGTCTCAGGTTCATCATGAAGATATAACCACTCTCTGGCACATGAGACTGGGGCATATGAGTGAACGAAGGATGCAAGTTCTGTCGAAGAGGGATCTTCTTTGCGGGCACAAGATGCAGAATTTGGAATTCTGTGAGCATTGTGTGTTTGGGAAGCTACATCGCAGCAAGTTTCCCAAGAAGGGTATCCACCGGACGACGGGGATACTGGATTACCTCCACTCCGACTGTTGGGTTCCTTCACGAGTTGAATCCATTGGAGGCAGCAGGTATTTTCTGTCTACTATTGATGATTATTCGAGATTTACTTGGATTTTCATGATGAAGCAGAAAAGTGAGGCTTTCACGAAGTTCAAGCAGTGGAAGATATTGGTGGAGAATCAGACCAGGAAGAAGATAAAGAAGCTGCGAACGGACAATGGTCTGGAGTTCTGTAATTCTGAGTTCAACGAATTCTGCAAGGATGAAGGGATTGCCCGTCATCGGACTGTGAGAGATACACCCCAGCAGAATGGCGTTGCAGAAAGGATGAACCAGACATTGTTGGAGAGAGCAGGGTGCATGCTCTCTAATGCTGGACTAGAGAGAAGATTCTGGGCAGAAGCAGTGAACATGGCGTGCTTCTTGATCAACCGTGGACCTCACACAGGTATTGAGTTGAACACTCCTTATGAGGTGTGGTATGGTAAGCCTGCTGATTACTCTTCACTGAAAGTTTTTGGGTGTCCTGTTTATTATCATGTGGATGAGGGTAAACTGAACCCAAGGGCAAAGAAGGGTGTTTTTGTGGGTTACGGAGATGGAGTTAAGGGATTTCGAGTCTGGTCACCTTCTGAGCATCGAGTTATACTCAGTAGAAATGTGATATTTGATGAGAAGTCTATGTTTAACCCCATGTTGAAGGTTACTGTTGTTGAAGGTAGCAGGAATGTTGATAAGCAGGTGGAGCTGCAAACTCTCAATGAGAGTGAGTTTGAGCACCAAGGTGGAGAAGATCAACATGAGGATGTCTCTTCGGAGCCAGAAACTTCAGAGTC